TACGGCACGAGCCTGGACTCTAAGGGTGTCCAGGCATCGTGCATGGGTGCATGGAGACGTGCACACCTGCAAACGTGTGTGTCTGCTGCCATGAGAGGTGTCTCCTCATCCCTCTCCCTGACCTTTCTCCTGTCCTTTCCTTGGCTGGAAGAAGCTAGCCTCCTGGGAGTGGAATTTTCTGTTTTAACCCTTCCTCCCCAGTTGTTTCACTCCCTCTTCCTGTTCAGGGAGCAGCTGGGCCTCATTGGCTGAGGTAGAATGGAATGACAGCTGGGCTGGGAGTCACCTGACTTCATGACCTAGCAAGGCCTTTCCCCTCTTTCTGGGCATCCGTTTTCTCATCTGTATGTTGATGGGAGTTGCTTAGAAGATCTAGATCCTTTCCAGCTCTATCAGTTTCTAAAGCCCATGGCTTTGGGCAGTCTGTGACTATACCCCTTGCTTCCCCCTCTTCAAGGTGCTATGCCTTCCAGCCCTGGAGGCTGGGACCCATCTCTTCCTGCAAATACCAGGGAGCGGGAGTGCACTGTCCACCCTCAGTTGTCATAATGGCTGCTCAGTGCCCAAAGGTGAACTTCTGCTGGTGGGGATTGGTCTTCATCCCTTCCTGTGGTGGTTTTCAGCAAATAGCCGGACTAATATTTATGTTACCTGTATTTATATGCCTGCTGCCATGGTCAGGGCTGGACAAGGTGCTCCTTTAGCCCTTCCTTCTTACCTCAGATGCCTGAACAGAACAAGGCAAACCAGTAGCAGCTTCTCAGGAGCTGACAGGTCTCCTGTCGGGGCTCAGAAGAGTGGTTACACACTCAGACGTGCTCTAAAGTGAGCTTATAACCCACAACTTCCTGTGCCCTCTTGTGCTTCTGACGTGCACACCTAGTGTAGATAAGACACTACAGCCAGGCAGCCTCCGCACACGCCCTTCTCCCCACGAGAGGTGAGCAGGGACAAGTGCCCAGGGCAGGGCAAGGAGAATTAGGGCATGAACAGGCTGGGGCTCAAAGTTCATTTATTGATTGACTGGACACAATAAAACCACATCTGCTGTTATCAAAATGTGTCCCCCCACCCCCTTTGTCTTGTTCTCCCATTGGAAATATCTTTAAGAAAAAAGATAAGGTGCATACTGGCAAAGTCCCAGGTTGTGGAGTGAGGGGCGGTGCTGGGTGGGGTGGAGTTGGTGACACTGACTTTGACAGCGTGGAAATGGGTCTTGAGAGTGTTTCCCAGCACTCAGTGTCACAGCATGGGGCTGGCTGGGAGGAGGGAAGGTTGACTTGAGCACTGGGACCAGTTTGGGGTAGGGGCTGTCCAGAAAGCTCTTTTGGGAGCCCTGGGGAGATTTGGTGTCCACCTGCATAAGAGCTGCAGCTCAGGAGGAATTAGTGAAAGGCTAAGAAGGAAGTGCATTTGTGGGGTGGGTCACTTCCTTTCTTAAAACTAGGCCCAGCCAGAACCTCACCCTCACCACCCCTATCCTCAGCCCGTCTCATGGAGGCACGTGAGGCCTCCAAGGGCTTTCAGCCCCAGCCTCCTACCCCTTGGCCCTACCCCACCTTTGCACTGTTGATCAAGGGATTCTTAGGTCCCGTTTCTCTATGTCCTCTGAGTGCTGATCTACAGTGACGGCAGAGAATCTGGTGAGCATGGGAGCAGAGGCCATAGCCTGCCCCAGGCTAGGACAGGCTGCTTTTGGAAGCTGACAGCCTAGGGATAGCCAGGTAGGTGTGGGTCTTGGGGAAACAGAGCACCACTGGGATTGGGATTTTGCATAGATCTTTAGGATTAATCAGGCTGGGAAATGCAGGGGAGCCTAGGACTAACCCTGGGAGCCCAGGAAAGGCAGGGGAGACGGTCCTGGGATCGGGGTGGGTACTGGGTGAATCCAGTGCCACAGGGAATGAAGGGCAGTTGCCTTAAAAATAGCTCAGCTCTTCCAGAGTGAGCAGGAACCCCTAGACTGTAAAAAAGTCCGTCCCTGTGGGATGTAGGAAATGGGGAGGGGGCATCTTGAGGATGAGAGGGGACAGTGCTGCTGGAAGATCAGCCCTGGCCTCCCCGTGAGGGCTAATAGGGAGCAAAGACAATGGGTCCTGTGGCAGGACGGACAGCCCCTGCTGAGGCACGGAACAGAGCTGGGCCCAGGATGGGAGCTGGGAAGAGGGTAGTGGCTGCTGTGGGGGCGGGTCGGAGGGCCAGGGGCCCCGGCAGGGCACAGATGGCAGCAGCTGCAGTGGGGAGTGGGCTGGGCAGGAAGCGGGCTGTCAGCGTCTTGGTGAGTTGCTTCTGCAAGGCCAGCTTAGACTACAAGGAAAAGACAGTGAACACAGGCCCTGAGCCAGAAAGTCCTGCTCCAGGCTTCTTACTGCAGGAAAAACGTGCCTTTTGGAATTCCAAGCCTCAGTCCTCCTCCCTTCCCACCCCCAAACATTCATTCCAAAGGGCTTTTGGAACCACCTGTCTTCCTGCCCAGAGAGGGGAGAATCTTGGGAAGGGAGAGAGGAGGAGGATATGGGGGTGGGAGAGAGAGATGGTCTCTAGGAGATGAACGCCCACCCCTCACTCCTGCCCCTAAGGTTACTACCCCATCCTTCCTCCCCGGAAATTCCTCTGGGCAGAGCCCAAGACAGCCAAAACCCCAATCCCAGTTCTTTCCAGGCTTCAGAGCAGTAGCCACCTTCCTGCCCTACCCAAGCCCCCAGTAGGCCTTCCCTTCCGGCCTGCTCTCTCCCCTCTTGACCCAGCTTCCAGCTCTGTTGCCTGGAAACAGATACCTTGAGGATGCTCACAGCCAGAGCTGCATGCTTCTGCAGCTTGCTGTGCTGGCTGGCGGGCTTGGAGGGCTTCCCGGCCAGGCGATCTTTGTGCCTCCTGCTGCTCATGTGCTGATGGATAGACAGACAGACTGGGAACAAGATGAGGAAGCACAAGGACCCCCGTACTACTCTGTCATCCTTGACTGTCTCTTCCTCTCCCACAGCTGAAGCATTTGGTGCACTCAGTAGGCATTCACAAGGGGTAGGGAGGGAAGGGGAGACTCGGCTTTTGCCCACAGGAGCCCGCCTCCCAGCTGCCAGCCCCATCCCCTTCCTCCAGCTCCCCACCCCCTCCCCACTCTGTTCTCCCTCCTGTCTTCCACACCCTCTCCTCCCCTGCAGTCTACTCCCACACCCCCACCCCAGGCTGTCATCTCCCACCTGCTTGAGCTGGGTCTCTGAGTTGACCTGGAGCTGGCAGAGAGCACAGTGGAAAGGGGGACTGGGCCCCTGTCGGCCCCCTCGACCTCCTGTCCCTCTCTTGGCCTTGGGCCCAGCCCCTCCCCGGGGCGCTGGGCGGCCTCGGCCCTTGCGGGGAGCCCCTCGCTGACCTTCCACCATCCACCGGTGCTTGGCCCCTGCAGGGAGGGAAGATGACCTCTGTCAGCACAGAGGAGGGCTACGAGGGCCAAGCTAGGTCAGCTCGCTGTCCTCTGCACACACACTGCCCTCTGGTCACGGGAGGGTTCTCTCCCATCGCCCCGAGTTGTCCCAGCTCCTCATGTCCTCCACTCATGCCCACTTTCCCTCTTGCTCTAATCTCTGGTCTGACCTAAGGGGAGCTGGAGGAGGTGTCTCCTGTCTCCTCTGGAATGACCCGGGATTAGTGACCTTCAGCTCTGATGCCTCTAACTTCTCTTTCCAACTCTCCCTACTCAGGGATCAGCAGGAGGGCCCCGAAACGCCTGCCCAATGTGCCATCTGTGCCAGCTGGGCACCTGGCCTCTGTCACCCACCAGGAGCAAAGTGTCCAGGAACTCAAGGCTACCTACATCAGGTGAGGCTCAGCCTCCCTGCTCCTGCCTCCCCCCAGACTCCAGCTCCTGGGGGGCACTGACCTGTGTTGTGGGCCAGAAGCTGGGAGGCCGAATTCACTGTCACCTTACACGTGGGGCAGTAGAGGCGTCCCTTCTCACTCCTGCATTCCCCACTCACATCGCTTCCCACAGCGGCCGCTGCTGGCTCAGGCCCTGGTGCCTCTCTCCCAGGCTCTGGAGAGCAGGGTGGGCAGGAAGAAGAAGAGGAAGAGGAGGCAGCATCCACCAGGTCCGAGTGGGCTGGCTCCCTGGATGTGAGGTCTGGGGTCAGTGGTAACTGGAGTGGAGAGGCCGTAGGAACTGTGAGGGAGGAGAAAGGCATTGGATGAGAGTGTGCAGCCCAAGGGGATTCTCAAGATCATGATTTTAAGCACTGGTAGTGGAGCTGGCATGGCAGAGAGGAAGGGTCCCTGATGTAGAAATGACCAGCACTGAATTCTAGGTCCCTCTCCTTCCAACTCACTGTCTGGATGTAGGCCTCTCTGAGTCTCAGATTGACTCCCTATCTAAAATTATAAAGTTGGATAGCTATCACAACTCTGCTATTCTAGTTGCTTGCTAACCACTAAATAAGCGAAATCACCAAGAAGAATGTACTAGGATATTCCTAGAGCATAATAGCATGTGTTCATAATAGCGTAAAACTGGAAACTGTCCAGATGTCCATCAACAATAGATTTTTTAAAAGGGCGGTATGTCCACACAATGGAGTACTACACAACAATGGAAAAGAACTATAGCTAGTGCTGACAGGTGGTTAAGGACACTGGACTCCCACATGGCCAGCCATGGTTAGAGTCCTGAACCTGGTGGCTTCCTTTCTCACTTTCCCTCTCTCTGTGTCTCTCTCTGGTCAAATTGGAAAATAATAATAAATAAAGTTAAAGTAAAATAATTCTTTAAAAAAACCCCACAAAACTACAGCTAAATGCAACATGATGAAATAGAAGATAGTAAATGTTGATGAGAGATGAATGAAAATGAAACACAGAAACCTATGTACTCTGTGATTCACCAAAACCAGGTGAAACCGACATGCTGAGAAAAGCCAGGGTCGTAGTTACCCTGCCAGAGGGCCGGAGAGTACCCCCCACAATTTGTGTTTGGCCTGGCTGTGATGTTATGCGCTGCTGAGATACTGTGTCCCATAGGCTCGGACTACTTGGAAGGCCTGGGTTAGATTTTTGGTCCAACCTAAAGGTGTATGCAAGGAACCCCTGTGATGTAGGAGGCTGAGGCAAGACAAGATGATCATGACAGATGGAGAGCCTGTCTTTTTTCTTTCTTTCTTTCTTTTTTTTAATTTGCCAGAGGTTGTGTGTGCTCAGCAGAGAGAGACAGAGGGAAAGGGAGAAAGCCCCCCTCCCATGGGATATAGTCAATGCTGCCATCCCTTTTCCATTTCTCTATCCTATTGGGATTTGGGGCATGCATACTTAGGCACCCTGTGTTTTTCAATCCACTGGGGCTGGGATTCAAACTGTGGGGTTGGCCATGAGGGACTCAAATTCCTTAACCACCAGGCAATGCGGCTGGCCAAGACCCTGTCTTTAAAAAAAAAAAAAATTGTTAGTCCATATGGAGCCTCAGAATGTGACCTTACTGGGAAATGGGATCTTTGCAGATGTACTTCATTAAGATGAGGTCATGCTGCATTAGGGCAAGACTAATCCAATGGCTGGTGTCATGAGAAGATCATGTGGGGCCAGAAGGTGGCAAAGTGGTTAAGGCACTGGACTCCCACATTGCCAACCATGGTTCAAGTCCTGGACCTGGTGGCTTGAAACTTATACCCAGAGTGTGTGTGTGTGCATGCCCAAAATTCCATAAGGAGAATGGAGGAGAAGAGATTGCAGTGTGGCATCCTCCTTGGGGGTGATTTCTTTATTTCAGTCTGTCTTTCTCTCTCTCTCTGGTGAGTGCACACACTCTATAGCAAAAACCACTCCAAGAAAAAAAGAAAAAGACCATGTGAAGACAGATGCAGAGGCTGGAATGATGTATCTACAAGCCTGGAATGCTGAGGTTGCCAGGAGAGAGGCATGGAACAGGCTCCCCTCTGAGCCTCCAAAAAGGAACCAACTCTGTTGACACCTTGATTTTGGACTTCTGACCTCCAGAACTGTGGCAAAATTAATTTCGGTTGTTTTCAGTCACTTGGTTTGTACTCATTTGTTATGGCAGTCCTAGGAAACGAATATAGTCAGGTAGGGGCTGGGAGGGGCCTCAGGAAGGCTTCTGGGATGCTGTTTACATGTTTCCTGAGTGGGTGTGTTCAGACTGGGGACATTCATTGAGCTGCACACTTGTGTGTCTTTGCCTGTAGGTAGGGAATGCACCAGCCCAAGGAAAAGTAATAATAAGCGGAACTCTCTCAACCCCTCTTCTGAAACCAGACTCGGAGCGGGAGTGCGGGAGGACAGTTAGGACTGACCTTTGCTCTGTGACTCTCCGGGGTCTTCACTAGCTGAAGTCGAGGTTGGAGATGTCACTGCCTCATCCCGGGTCAGGGTTTGCAGCCTCTGCTTGGTCTTGGCAGCCTCAACAGCCTTGAGTTTTCTGGCATGTTTGTGGCCTTTATAATGTGCTTCTGCCTGGTTCTGGGGAGGGGAGGGCATGGAGTCGCCATTCATTTGCTAAGTTCACCTGCCCCACCCAGACATGAGCTGGAGTGAGCATGGGGGGGGCGGGGCATGTCTAAGGGAGGCAGGGTTTGGGCCACACATGGGGCAAATTGTCGTCATTGTCATCATCACAGCACATACATGACCTTGAAGTATACAGAGAGCGTGTTCTCATACGTGAGCTCCAAGGCAAGCAGCCTCTGGCTTTTAATTCTGACTTAGACACTTATTAGCTATGCATCTTTTTTGTTATTGTTTGTTATAGGGCAAATGCGTATGGCAGAGAGAAAGTGAGAAAGCTCCCCCATAGGGGGACGGCCATGCTGAAATCCCTTCTCCTCCATTCTCTTCTCAGGGTTTTGGGCATGCACGCACGAGCAGCGGGTGTGTCTGGGACTCGAACTGCGCAGCCAGCCATGTGGATCCAGCTGCCTTAACCACCACACCAGTGACTGGCCCCAGCTGTACACCTTTAGGTGAGTCACATCACCTCTCTGAGCATGAGTTTCCTCTCTCATAAACTTCTGTGGCATCCTCTAGGGTTCAGAATGAAATGGGAACCCGAGTCACCAGAGAGGTGTTCAGTGAGTGAGTGTTTATGAACACACAAATGGGGCCATCCTGTGGTGGGGTGGTTAAGGTGGCTGGATGCCACATGGCTGAGTGCGCAGTTCAAGACCTGGATCCAGTAGCTTGAAAAAACATGCCAGGTGCCTGCACATGTGTGCGAGACCCAAATCCTGAGGGGGGATTGAAAAGGGATTGTGGTGAGACCATCTCTCAAGAAGGGTGCTTTCTCACTTTCCTTCTCTCTTTGTTTTCAGTGCTTTGAAAATCACAGCTCACTATATAAATCATTTTAAATATAAACTAAATAAATGCACAAATTGAGAACAAAGCCATCCTCCCACTTTGGGTATATGCACTCCCAAACATTAACCTCTTGTTTGATTGTTTGTTTTAAGTATTTTTTTAGAGGTTTTTGCTATAGGGCATGTGCACTCACCAGAAAGACAGAGAGAGACAGAGACAGAAAGCAGGAAATCACCCCCCAGAGGGGATGGCCACACTGCAATCCCTTCTCCTCCATTCTCCTCTCGGGATCTTTGGCATGCATGCACACACGCCTGGCATGAGTTTAAGCCACTTGGTCTGGGACTCTAACTGCAGTCGATTACATGGGAGTTCAGTGACGTAGCCATTATGCCATCTGCTGGTCCCTTAAAGTTTTTAAAAGTTTTTGTTTGTTTGTTTTTGTTTTTGCCACAGAGCTTGTGTGCTCACTAGAGAGAGAGTGAAAGGTAAAATGAGAAATGATGCTTCAGAGGGATGGCCACATTACAGTCCTTCTCTTCCATTCTCCTCCTGGGACCTTGGGCACACACACGTGCCTGGTGTGATTTTTCAAGCCATCGGGTTCGGGACTTGAACTGCAGATTACTATGTGGGAGTCCAAGGCCTTCACCACCACGCCACTCTCTTGCTTCCCCTTTGTCCATTTTTTCAGCAGGTATTGGGCATTTGCTCTGCCAGGTGCTGTGCCAGGGATCTGGCATGAAAAGGACATGGTCCCTCTCTGATAGCAAATCCTCGCTGTCCAGCTCACACATGAGCCATGTTACCTGAGAGCCTGGAGGGAACCCCCCCAAGCCAGTGTCTCCCCTCCTGAAACCAAGAGTCTTGTTGCTCCCCTAGCTGACCTCCTCCAGATGTGGGGGAAACAGTCCCTGTGGCCCCTCCCTGGGCCCTTTCAGCACAGCGATTCTGCTGACATGTAGCCTGGACCTTGCAGGTGCCTGAATGGAAGGTGAACCTTCCCTGAGAGACCAGAATGAGGCTCCTCCTCCGCCTGCAGTAGGATGCACCGGAAAGCATGTGGGCGTGGGGTCAGTCAGCCCTGGGTTCAAGTGTCAACCTTGCTACTTACCAGCCGGGTGGCCTTAGGTAAGACCTTGCCCTGTCTGAGGCTGTTTCCTCATCTGAAAAGTGGAAGGCAGTGTCTGTCTCTACCCACCTCAGGGATGTAGCACGAGAACTAATTAAGATGAGGGGCATGAGCACATCCTGTTAACTGGCAGGGGCTTTAAGAACTCCGGGGCCAGGGAACCAGCAGTTAGTGTAATGGCTATGTCGCTGGACTCCCACGTAATCCACCACAGTTCACATCCCGGACCCAGTGGCTTAGAACTCACCCCGGGCGCTTGTGCATGCATGTCCAAGATCCCAAGAGGAGAATGGAGGAGAAGGGATTGTGGTGTGATCATCCCCCCTGGGGGGTGATTTCTCGCTTTCTCTCTCTCTGTGTCTCTCTGTCTTTCTGGCGAGCGCACACGCCCTATAGCAAAAACCTCTCCAAAAAAAAAAAAAAACTCCGGGGCCAGCAGGTGGCATGGAGGTGCAAGTGATGGATCCCACATGGCTGACTTTGAAGTTCAAGTGCCAGACACAGCGGCTTGAAAATCACAGCAGGCATGTGTATGAATCCAAATCCAGCAGAGGGGGCTGGCAGGTGGCGTGGTGGTTAAGGGTGTTGGACTCCCACATGGCTGACTGTGGTTCAAGCTCCGGACCTGGTGGCTTTCTCTCTATCTCTTCTCTACCCCCACTCTGGTCAAATTAAATAAACAAACAAACTTAAAAAAAAAAATAATTGTTTAAAAAGAATTAAACCCAAGCAGAGACTGGAGGAGAAGGGATCGTGATGTGGTCGTCCCCTGGAGAGTGATTTCTCACTTTCCCTTTCTCTGGCAAGTGTACGCTATAGCAAAACAAAAACAAACAAACAAACAAACAAAGAACTCAGCTCTAGACCAAGCACTGATAGGATGGCCCCTGGGACTCAGAAGGATCCAGAACACAGGTGAGAGGCCTAGGGGAGTGAAATGGAACCCTGGGGCGTAGAGGTGGGCAGCAGCAGTTTGGGGGCAGTTAAGGGAAGGGGCAGAGGAGGCTAAAGGAGAGAAGACCGAATGGTTAAAGGACCAGGGGGCCCTTTTCAGTAACCAGGGAAGGAAAATATGGACCACAGCTCTGTGCCTCCTGTATCCCCCCAGAAAGACCCCTGAACCCAACCTCCTCCCACCCAGCCCCACCCCAGACTTGCTCCACCCCAGGCTCCCTCTCACCGCTGAGTTGAACCTCAGGTGACAGATGTTACAGGAAATGAAGAGCTTCTTCTTCAGAGGGGAGGGGACCCCAAACGTGTGACTGATGACTGCTTTCTGGACGGGGTCCATCTGTGAAGGGGCATAATAACTCTGGGGTTGGCTTGGGAAGAGGGAGGCAAAATTAAATGCCAGGACTGCGGCAGAGGGCAGTGGTCAGGCTTTGGAGAACTTTCCCAGCCTGTGGATGCTAGACAGGAAAAGCCTTTCCCGAGCGGGCTTCACCTGCCAGCCCGGCTTCTGCTTGGAGGCCAGGGGATGACCAGGGAGACCCGGTGTGGCCTTGAGAAGGAGGACCATGTTCTGGTGATCACGCTGGCCTCTTGCTGCTCCTCTGGTTTTTGGCTTTTGTTGTTTGTTTGTTTTTTCCCCTCCCCCTCATTTGCAAAAAAAAAAAAATCACAACTATTGAGACCTAGGATTGGGCCCAGGGAGAGACAGGGAGGGGACAAAGAATCCCTTGCTTGGGAGTTCCTCTCCCATAACCCAGCCTCTGTGCCTCACCCTGTGGGCCGGGGAAGAAGTGTCCTATTTGATCAGGCCTGAGGCTCCCCTGCTGACTTCTGTGGAGAGAGTGAGAGCCAAGGCCTGGGGACGGGGGCCAGGAGGGGGCAAGTGGTGGGGGAGGCCTGAGGAGTCCCTGAGTAGTAGGGTCATTTCTTTGGAATATTAATCTTGAATGTTAGTAATTAGTTTGTTTCTTGTCCTCATTTTAAGTCACTTTTTTCTCCTATCTGACCAAGCCCTGATGCTGCCTTTTCTCAGGGGCCTATGTTACTGTGCCCAAAGCTAATATTGTCTGGATTTATCTGTTATTTTGCCCAAAGCAGAAACTGTCTGAAACTCCCAGAGTTCCCAAGGGGAGACAGCAGAGGCTCTGGGAAAAGGGTGTGGTGGCAGAAACTCCCCAAGAACAAAGCAGCTCTAACCCCACAGCACCCAAGGCTGGGGGCGTTCAGGGGCAGGACAGCAGAGGAGAGCAGCTTGCAAGCCCCCAGCAATGAGGACAACCTGCCCTTGAGAGGCCATGCCCTTGAACAGTGAGCACAACAGCAAGGCACTGAGGGGACTCAAAACCAGAGGACCCTCACAAATATTTCAGACTCCAGGGAGCCTGGAGGAAAGAGACTCCTAAGGGTGACTGAGACAGAATTTGTCTCCATCATGTTGGGATAGAGTGGGCCTCATCCATGATTGAGACTTTTTTTGTCAGAACTAAAAAAGAGTTGATGGGGGGAGTAGGTGATGTGGTGGTTAAAGCGCTGAGCTTCACAGGGCTGACTGTGGTTCGAGTCCCAGACCTGGTGGCTTGCTTCCTCAACCCCCCCGCCAGGATAAAATTAAAATAATAATAATAATAATAGTAAATAAAATTAAATAATAATTTTTGAGAGATTTTTGCTATAGGACACATGCACTTGCCAGAAAGACAGAAAGAGAGACAGAAGGTAAGAAATCGCTCCCAAAAGGAGGACGGCCACGCCGCAATCCCTTCTCCATTCTCCCCTCGGGATCTTGGGTATGCACGCACATGGCCCTGCGTGAGTTTTAAGCCGCTGGGTCTGGGGCTTGAACGGCAGTCGACTACGTGGAAGTCCAGCAACATTACCATTAGACCATCTGCTGGTCCCTTAAATAAATAATTCTTTAAAAAAATAATGGGATTCCTTATATCTCAGGTAGTGAAGTACAATTCACACTCACTGCACTTATCACTCACACACATACACACGTGGGAACACAGTCCCTAGACACATGGCACACGAGCTCACAGGTACGTACAAAGGTACAGAAGAGCAAATATACTCACCAGCCCACAAATGGCACACAACCACAGACAAACTCACAGTCACCCAAACCACACACACACACACACACACACACACACACGGAACACATAGGACACAGACATCCCTCAGATACACAGGCACATGCGTTAATTACATACAATTACTCAAGCACACACATCCCCATGTAACACAAAGATTCACAGAGACACAAACAACAGAAAGGCACACCCCATAGCACACAGACTACCCAGATCACGGACAGAAGTCCTTGTACAAAAATTCAAGAGAAACCTATAGTCCACAGATCCTACAGGCCCAGAAGATACAATGGGGTGGGGTGGGACGACACCATCTGGTTCCCTCAGTAGCCAGCTGGGCTCAAGGTTCCTATTCGGGGAACACCTAGTGACTCTAGGGGATACTGCCCCTCCGAGCCAACCTTCCAGGCCCACCCCAAGCTTGGCTGCATGCCCCCTCCCGCCAGCCCAGCCCGTACCGTGCTGAAGTTGGGGAAGAGACTGAGCGGGGCCGCACCATTGAAGTGGAAGGCGAGCAAGTGCTTGAAGTCCAGCGAGGGCTGCAGAGGCCGGCTGGGCAGGGGCAGGGAGGCCAGCAGGGGACTGGGGGCGCTGGAGGTCGGGCCTGCTGCAGGAGGAAGAAGGGTAGGGTCTGAAATGGAGAGCCACAGTGTCCTCGCCTACCTCCAGAGCCAAAGCAAAAGGCTGGTGGGCTTCCTGGGTTCGGTGCCAGGGTAGAAACTCACACGTCTATATTCATGAAGTAGCACCAGCCAAGCCTCGGGTTATAAACCCATTCTGTGCCCTCCTCTCGGAACCTGGAGAAGCAGAGGCAGGGAGGCCACAGCTCAAATCTCCCAGCACAGGATGACTCTACCGCCCCCTACAGGGGCAGCATAATGGCTCAAATGAATCCCCAAGGGGAGTCTAACCAAGGCAGGGGATGGAGGAGTCAGGGCGGGTCCTCGTCATGCACACCACCATGGACACATTGATGTGTGGGTTTCCACTTTATTGTGAATTAAACCCAAACCCAGAGGCCTTGCGAAAAGACTAGCCCCCTCTCTTCACTCTCTACTTTCCCCTCCCGCCCTCCAGACCACACCACTCACAGCAAGGGCTAATGGAGGAATGGGAACTCGTGGGAAAATGAAGAAATGCATCCCCTACTCTGGTGAAGCCCCACCGTGTCCCCCAGGAAGCTCAAACCCCTGAAGCACCCCTGGGCAGGCCCTGTGGCTGGTCCTCAGAGGCAGCAGGTAGAGCACCATAGTTTTGCAGTCTTTGGTCTTAAAGGTCTGAGGCAAGGGGTGGGGGAGGGCTTGGAATTTGGACAGCAACCAGACTTTGAGGAAGAAAACAATTAGAAACAAATTCAGTCTGGGGATCAGCAGTTGGCACAATGGCTATGTCGCTAGACTCCCGTGTAGTCAACCAGGGTTCGAGTCCTGGACCCAGTGGCTTAAATTCACACCCGGTGTGTGTGTGTGTGCCTGCCCAAGTTCTCAAGAGGAGAATGGAAGAGAAGGGACTGCGGCATGGCCATGCCCCCTGGAGAGTGATTTCTTGCTTTCTGTCTTTCTGGGGAGCACACACACCCGATAGCAAAAACTCTCAAAAAAAATAATAAAATAAAATAAAAGCAAATCTAGTCTGATTAGGACTTTCTTGGATCTAGTCACTGTAAAGCCAATAGAAGTCCTTTCAGGGTTCTGTGTGTTAACACAGAAGGGAGGATAGATTTATTTCACACTCATCAGTATATCTATCCATGTACATGAGCATACACAGGAAAGCCGCAGGCAGCCTATGAGTGGGGATGGGAAAGAGGGCACCACTACCTCCCTTGAGCCACTGTGCCCTTGAACACTTGTCCAACACCAGCCCCATGTACGGGGAGCTTGTGCACAGAGAGAGTGCTACATTGTGTGTCTAAAAGAAAAAGTGTGGTCATCTGCTCTCCAGATGAGACCAATCCTTCTCAAGACCCAGTCTTCCATCACTCTCAACAAGTCTCCCCAACTTTGCTAGGGCCCAAACTAGGCCCAAATCCAGAAGGGAAAGGGACTAACAACTCCTCACCAAACTTAGAGAAGGCAGAAGCGATTTAGGGGTGGAACACCAGCATCCCTGTCCACTCACTCAGGCCTTTCCTCCCCAGCTAAGGGGGCTGGTTAGAGCTCAGGAAAGAGCAGAGGAAGCAGAGGAAAGCCAATGGGAAGCCTCAGACCCCAGAGAGGCCACAGTTAGGCCAGCATGGGAGCAGCACGGTAGAGTCCCATTTGGCCCTTGGGGAGGCCAGGGCCCAGGTTGGCTTTGGCAAAAGGAGGCCACTCTCAGGTGAGCTGTGATCCCAGGAGCCGCTCTCGCCACCCACTCTCTAAGAACTCCACTGCCAGCGCAAAGTCGAACTCATGCATCGGGGGCCCATCCACAGCAATCTTCACCACGTGGCCCCCCCTGCCTTCCCCTGCCCTGCCCTGTCCCCACCACCGCAGATCCCGACTGCGTCGGACTTTGTCCAGGAGGCCCGCGCCTGCTGGCAGCGCCAAAGCCAAGGCGGCGAGGGTGGCAAAATCGGGGAAGAGTTCGTGCAGCTCGGAGTGCTCGCACGCCAACTTGGCACACAGGGCCCTCGGGCCCAGCCGCCCTAGGCTGCACACCACGCGCTTGAAGAGCTCGAAGTCGCCCAGCGCGCGCTGGCGCACCACAGCTGGTGCGAACCCGCGCAGCAGCACCCGTAGCGCCCCCTCGCCATGTACGTCGAGTTCCTCTGGCGCCTGCGGGTAGCGGCGGGGGGGGGAGCACGGGGCCGAAGCAGGCCCCGCGGTCCC